TAACAATAACAAGATGGCGGGGCAGGGGCCTTGCCCTTGGCCTACTGGGAGGCAACGGTCACCGCCAAGACTGCTTTAAAGCTGGACTGCGTGTTGACAAGCAACGTATTTTTAACGAACCCTTAAGAAGGGTGAACAATATACATGCTTGCAAGTGGAAATGATACGACCACACGGCAGTGGTACAGGGCACTGCAAAGCTACTCCAGTGCTTGGAGAACAACTTTCATTTACAAGTTCCTGTGTATAGTCAGGGCAACGGAGCCTCTTCCCTGTTAGCCGTCCCTTAGGCATTAAATGGTGTTACTGAAAGTCCCTGACAAGACTGCGTCCTGATTAATCCAAAGTCTCCTTTGAAGACCTCCTCTTGCCCTTGCTTTCCCCAGGACGGTGGCCACCCCTCACCACCGACGTCCTGACTGTGATCTGTCTCTGTCCATGAAGTCAGAGCACTGTTTGTAACAAGGATAGTTAGTATCTGTTCATTGCTATTTTTACTTAGGTTTCAAGTAGGTCCACTGAAAGCCTGGCTGGTTGGGGGAAGACAGGAAGGGGAAGAGATCTGTTCTCTCTCAGGCTCTCCCACTTGTGAACCAGCAGAGCTCCACAGCCACAAGGGAGGGAAAGCAGTCCAGGACCAAATCGCTTGGTTCTCCTGAGGGTTCATGCCAGAGCAAAACCATACAGCAGTGCCCAAACGCAAAGCTCCCCGTGACTGAAGACCACTCGAGTGGTGGAACCACAGATAAATAACACAGATGAACTGGAACAGTGTTACGAACACCCCAGGCAGTCTTGTCTTCCGTACCAGGGACACACTGAAAGCTACAGCATCCTGCTGAAATGCCGAAGGTCACAGAGCCAGGCACGGATGGGGCTGGACCTGCCTGGATGCAATGGATAAATTAAAATGTCTGTTAACTATTTCTCCCTCTGATAACACAGTGCTTTTTAAGGTACCATCTATGGAATTTACCATCTTCTTCAAAAGCCAAGAAAACCAGAGTTGATCTCGCTGAAGTTGTTGTAGGACCCTGAGTTTGAACTTGCAGCTAAGTGGTAAGTCGGAAGTCACCAGGATTTTGAGCCAGGAGGGTCAGGAAGACAGAATACTGAGAGGGTGAAAGGATCTGCTGGCGAGGGTTGCCTGTCTACGTGTAACCCCCCACCCCCAAAAAGGAGGGCAAGCAGTGCCCAACTATGCAATGCCTCCCCGTCTTCTCAACAACCCTGGCAACCAAAAAAATCACTTCCTGCTATACTGCAGCACAAGAGCAGTAAACTATTTCCAAGGAAATTTGAACAATGGCCCATGGATTGTTTTAGAAATAGGGCACCAATTAGGGAAAATATCTAAGAATATAAGAATGTATATTCTTAGATTATTTGGTTGCTGCTGAACATCTTAGATTTTCAGATGCCTATCTGCTCTTAATGCGTCCATTATAATCATTCTAGATTTAATATTGCCATCTGTAGCTTATATTATAGAAATATACTGCCATTTAAATTGATTCATCTGTATACCATTAAAAGTTTAGCATTAACTTCAATAATTTTAATATTATGAAACAACCCTCTTCTTTTGTATGTAAAAGGTGTGTATCTGTATATGTATGGGACGCACGTACTTTTTTTTACATTTTAATTAGTGACGCTGGGACCCTCTGTCATGTGTGACTTCTCACAGAAAGAAACCCTGATCCGATCCCTTAGCTCCCTGGGTCAGATAACATCACAGCCGCAGACCGCAACCTCCTCCCATTAACGGGCCTAAACGTTCAGGCAGGGGCCCTGGGAGTGAATCACACAGCCTGTCGCGTGCCTGTCACTATCAGGCATGGCACGGAAACTTCTGTAGGTGGATCGCAGAGTCAATTTCAACTAAGCACAAATAACCTGTGCGGTGAGTGAAAGGGATGAAAAAGAAAGGGAAACACAGTTTACAGTCAGCCATTGATAGAAGCAGCCTATGTGAATTAAAAGCAACCACAGCGACAAAGCACAGTCCCCCTGAGCTATTTATATAGTAACAAAGGGGCAAAATTATACTGAAAGGGTTTTCCTTTATGGTTTCACAACATGCCTGAGCTGTAGCAATGTTAATTTTTAACTTACCCGTGCATTTACATTGAGCCAGGTATGATTTATGTGACTTCTGTAAAAGGCACCAAGCTTCCATAAACTCCCGACCAAACAGCCAAAAAGAAATTCTACCAGAGTGAAAGTCTATAGTATACAATCTGAAATGAATGCATGGACAGATGTCTGCGTAGGCATTTGCACGGATCGTCTGTCAGTGAGGATTCCTGCAGAAGGACGGGGGGGGGGGAATCTTCGCTGGCTGGGGTACCTTTCTGCAGAACCAACAAATCCCCAGAGGAGGCACTCGAGTACTGCTGGTTACAGCCTCACCCGCTTGCTCGTAGAGGCTCAGCCGGTCACACGCCGGACTCTGTGATCACATGTTTTCCTCCCTTGTCCTCAGCTCCCCTGTATCACCCCATTGAAAAGCAATTGATTCCCTCCCACCAAGGGGTCGCTTTGCCGTCAACAAACGTGTGTGAGTTATTTCAGAAGTTCCTGAAGCTCCCAATTTAAGCAAAGGCTTTGCCAAGCCTTCCAAGCAAGTAAAAACCATTTCTGTGTGTGAGAGAGAACCACGATGTGATACGAACTACTAATGCCAATAAATGCAAAACCTTGCACAATCCAGGAAGGTTAAAATCACTCAGGCGTACGTATTCACAACACTAAACAATGTATGGGTTCAGTACTTTAGAAGAGATTTCTTAAAAAGAAAAAAAGGTGACAAAATGTTTGACTGGACACACTTTCTCATAGCAGCATACATCCTGAGAAGTTTTTATTAGCTTTGCCCTTAAACCAAACACACACACAAACAAACAAACAAAAACCCAAAGTGCTGAATGACAGGGAGACCATCAAAGACATCGTGTGTGAGGACACACAGGGGGTGGTTTTAGACCTAGGAAGGCACAGCGGTGGCCAAGAGGGTATGCTGCCCACCCTCCCTTCTGCACTGGACACGAAAAACCCGAGTCAATTCAAGGGTAAACTGCAGTCATACAGATGCTCTGCAATTACACTTTGATAACAAAGGGAAAAAGCTCTTTGCTATTGAATCGATAACCGTAGACTTAAGAAGAGTTGTGAGTCTGTCAGCTGATTGTTAACACAATCGTGAAGTCCTACTGCAGCCCTTAATTACAATATCTCACATGGTGCCCTGTTAGTAAAGCTGCAGACCTCAGGAGCTTTGAGCTGGGTACTGTCCTGCCCTACTGATTAGTGTTCCCTTCATTTTTCTTTTCACGGACAGACTATCAGCTAGCTTGACCAGATAAGATTATTAGCATTGGATGCCACCTAATTGCTTCTGACATTCCATTCCTTAATGAACGCTCACCCGTAAGTAAGATTTCCACAGAGTTGCCAGTTTGACTACCTGCCTCAATTCTTTTGAATTTTAATTCACACTGTTCCGACTAGCCCTAAAAAGAAAAGGATTCTTAATGGATTTCCCCTTTATATATGTAACAAGAAAAGAGCTGGGGTAAATATAAAGTCTAACTAGTTCTTTGGGAAAGAATCTTTGGAGAGTGACTGAAAGCTTGCAATGTAATTACTTTCTTCCTTAGTTCTCCTGTGCCTCCCCCCCCCCACAAAAAAAACAAAAAACAAAAAAAAACTTGTCTTCATAAAGTATAGTAGGGAAAACTTTCCTTAAAAAGAGAGAGGGAGGGAGGGGAGGAGGGAGGGATGGGGCTGCTACCGCTCCTAAACTCTTTTAAAATACATTTTTTGGTTGTTGTTGTTGTGGTTTGTGATGTTAATCTGATTTTTAAAATGTATACTTGTCACTTAGCAAGAGCCATATATTTTCAGGTTACTTACGTTTTTTCTATTTTCCCCCTAAAGTTCTGTTTACGTACTTCTGCATCAAAACTGATCTGAACACCTATCTGGTTCCAGGGAATAGGAAGGGTGCATCCAATTTAAAGCCCTTTCACTTAACAAATGGTCTAATAAAGAGAAGCTATTTCTTGCAAAATAAAAGGCGTTTTCAGTATATCCAAGCTCCAATCTGCAGGACTCCAAAGCTTTGAGACACCCAATCCTCGATGTTTTCTTTGCAGGTTCCCATTGCCCACAGCGAGGTGAACTCACTGCCAATCCTTACTCACCTGGACAGTATCTACAGAATCCTTAAGGCGAAGGATCTAAAACGTGCTGCCAATACAGACAATAGGCCCTTTCTCATTCATCGACCCTGGGAGATCGCATACCAACAACCGGCCGCGTGTACCAGGTGCACCCACGAGGAAGTCCACCTTGCATTCTGCGCAGCAGGGCGCCCTTTCCCCAGCGCATCCCCAAGAAACAGCGGGGCGGACGGGAAGCTGGACGCCCTGCAGGCGCACGGTAGCAGCAGAATACTAATTACAGCGAGAGCCAAGAACCCTTAGATGAGTTCCACCTTCAGAGATGGTAAAAGGCGTCCAGCGAGGATGGTGGAAGGACCCCCTGCGCACGCAGACGCACACCCCCTTCCAGTCTCAGACCGCGGCTGCAGAGCTTGGCGGCCCAGCCAGCGCAGACTTTTGCCCCCATCCAACCCAGGTCAAGGGCGACCCACTGGTGTTCCTCTGGGAAGAGAGCGGTCCAGACCGTGTTTACTGCTTCATCTGGAGCGCGCTGGCATCTGCGCTCACCCTGAACTCGTGAACTCGTGTCGCACCTGGTGTCGGCCAGCACCTGCTCTCCAGGCCGAGCACGCTCAGCTCGGTTCGCAAGTCCGTCCTGCCTGGATGAGCCAGCCCCACGGCCACACAGCAGTAACTTGGGGACGCTAGGAAACTCCACGCGACCCTCCCGCCCGCTTTTCGCTCAATGCCGAGTCCAGCTTCCAAATGCGCACAGCGCGCTGCTTCTGCCCCGCAGTGCCGTCCCAGCCCACAGCAGGCAGTTACACTCACCTGGGACCTCGCTGCCCTCCCCGCGTCGTCCGGCGCCTGCCGCCCAGGCGTTGGCATCCGAAAGGGCGCGCGCTCAGCCGCCGGGCGCCCGCGGGCGCTCCGGGACCCAGTGCGCGCAGCTCGGCGCGCCGGACGGACTGGCGGCACCCGCTCTGCACCCGCTGCGCCCGGGCGGACGCGGACGTCTGCTCCAATCACAGCCCTCTCCGCGGGGCGCGGGGCACGAGGCGCGGCGTGCGGCGCCCCTGGCCAGGCCGCCGGCTCCCCGGGCTGGCCGCCTCCGGCTGCTACGAGGAATCACGCCGGCTCCCCCGGGCGAGTAGGACACCAGGTCCGGAGCAACGGGGGCGCGCGTCCGGAGCCCAGGAAGGAGGACGCTGGGGCGGGAGGGTGTGGAGCCGGTGAAGGTGGTTGCGGCGGCCGCCTACAGTCAGCGCCGTGTGCGACGGGCCCGGGGAGCCACTGAGACTTGGGCACCTACCGGCGACCCAGCGAGGGCAGTAGGAAAGGTATCCGCTCCGCCCGCTAGGCGCGCTCACGCGCACGCGCGCACCCCCCCCTCCAGCGCCCTCCAGACAAATCCGTACAGATGGAGTCCTTCGCAGGAAAATCCAGAGGAGCTGGGGAAAGTAGGAGGGGCCGCAGCCGGCACATTTCTCAGCAAGGTATTTGCATCTGAAAGCGTGGAGCTAAAGGACTTTGGAGAATTTTTGTAGGCGCTTCCCCGTCCTCCCCTCCCCAAGACGTCCTGGAAGCCGTGATCAATTGAGCTCCTGAGGCATGAAGGCAAAGTCATAAAACTAATCAGAACTTACAGTTTTCTTGCGTGATAGTTTTGCCCTTTCAGTCTCCTCAGACTGCCCTAGTTCCAGCTTCTTTCAGAAAATTTCCTCCCGTGTTGAGCTCTCTAACGCAAAACTTCGGAGGTGTAAACGCCCGTGGATGGAAACCCCTCGCCAGCTGGAGAAGGGGATCTGGACGCTTATTTAGAGTGCGCTGCAGCCGGTGGAGTTGAGCACGCTTTGTTTTCCTCTGCCCTGGTCCTTGATTGCACCTGATGGCCAGGTGCACTGTTGTAAGGGTTAGGAAGATGAGCAGAGTATTGCCAAGTACGTGTTTTTTACTCGCTCCGCCAATGGAACTCACCCTGCATCTCTTAACGCTCCGTAACAGGGAGCCTCCTCCCCGTGCCTGTTGTGTGAGCATCACTTGTTCAGGGCAGCCCTCTGCCTTCTGGTGCACTCAGTCCCTCCCTGTCCTGTACACGGGGCTTGCATTTTTCCTCTCGTCTAGTTAGGATTTAAAACTGAGTTATATTCTAATAATTCTGACAGCAAACATTTTCTGAGCTTCTGCTCAAAGTGGCAGGTACCACGCTTCTGCGTGTGCTTAAGCTCGTTTTTAAAGTTGCATCGCCTCCCCAGAACCGCCCCAGCTCCAGCCAAGCTTAGGTGGTCGTTTCATGGTCCATCCCGAGGCACGCGTCAATCATCACCCCAACTCAGAATGCATGAAACAGACTTGCTCGCCTCCTCTCAGGCATCACCTAGGAGTCTGCACCATGTGCTTCTCCATCTGGGGTGCCATGGTTCTTTGGGTTTGCAGGCATTAAACCTTGGCTTCCTTACTGAGACCTTTCACATGATTTTCTTCTGTGTTAAAACCCTCATTTTTTTCTAATATCATAAGATCAATAACCATACATTTGTCTTGCATTATATAATAACATTGCTTCTGCAATGTTAATGGGACCCTTTGTAGGACTTGTTCTGGACTAGAAGTTCCAGGTACACAAAGGCCGATAGTATGATCAAGACGTAGCACCTGTTTGGCCCACGGTCAACGTTTGTGTAGGACATGAGTGTTGTACCCCAGTCAGCAATAACATAACTGTGAACACAGCCACCTACTCGTAAGCTGGTCATTGATCGCCCGGGCCTTTCTTCTATAAGACATGGATTGTGATCAGGAATCACAATACCACCAGGTACTACAGCATGCTCATTTAACTAGCTTATATTAATCAAAGGACGTCTCATCAGAAAGGAAAAAAAATTGGGAGGCCATTTATTTAAACATTTTGTTCATTATACTTCTCAAATTTTCCACAATGTTTCCTCTTCTTGTCTCATGCCTCCGCATAAATATTGATCACCAGTTTGGGCTTTCATCTTAAACCGGCTATTTCCACACTAACTGCTTTCCTTTAAAAAAAAAACATTCTTTTTAAAAATATGTTTATTAATTTATTTTTATTTTTAGAGAGAGAGGAAGGGAGGGAGAAAGAAAGGGAGAGAAATATCAATGGGTGGTTGCCTCTCACCTGTCCCGTACTGGGGACCTGGCCCACAACCCAGGCATGTGTCCTGACTGGGAATCAAACTGGCAACCATTTGGTTTGCAGGCTGGCACTCAACCCACTGAGCCACACCAGCCAGGGCTAAAAAAAAAATTCTTAAACCATAAACTTTACACAGGTTCTAAAAGAGGTGAAATGAACTCAGTTAACCAGAACTCTGGTTCTAGTTCTGACATGAGCAAGAACCTAGAGGAAGGTCTAGGCTCCTGTCCACCTGGAGGGCAGGGGTAAGAAGGGAGGCAGTTCAAACAGTGCCTGAGGGACCCACCTCTGTCTGGGAGGTGACTGGTAGGCTCTAGGAGGAGACGGCACTTAAGCTGATTGATGATGATGAGGGTGAGTTGGGTCTGTAAAGGTCTGAAAGGAATGCCACCAGGGTAGAATAAACAAGGGCAAACGTCTGCAGAAGGAAAGAGTGGGGCCGATTTGAGAGACAGAGTCCTGCACGGAGTAGGCCAGGATGGTCTGTGCTGGAGTGATGTGCAAGGCCTTCCAGGTCTGGGAGGTGTTTGTGTTTTGTTCCTGGGAGAAAGCCCAACATTAGAAACAACAAATTTCAAAGAGCTCCACAGGTTTCTGCTGTGGCCAAGTCTGGGGACAAGGCACATTTGATTAGATCCTTTCTCCTCTCCTCTCCCCTTCTTTCCCTGCAGCTTATGGTTGATTAGAAAACCTAGTTTTCTGAGAAACAAATAAAAAATTGCTGTACTACACAAATCCTAAGGTGCTACCAAGTGTTCAAGATTCCATAAAATACAAATGTTAAGTCATAACAGCATATGCTCACTTACAAAATGTCATAATGTTTCCATTTAACTTTTAAATTTGTCTCAATATTTCTCATCTTATATATAAACCAGTCTCATTTGACTCTCCACAGCTGAAGGTTTAATTTCATCAGTGCCACATAACATTGTATGGAGATTTGATAAATGCCCCCTTTCTGCCCCTACAAAAAAAACAAAACAAAACAAAAAACCCTCCTCTCAATTTAGTTTACTCTTGATTAGATCAGTGAAAGCAGCTACACTAGCACTATGTTTCAAAGACCGAGGAACCTGTAGAACTCTGCCATCGTTTCTGTCAGTGTACGTGCAGTCATTTCTCTGCACGTTTTGTCTACCAGAGATTTCCTGCACGTTGGAAGTTTCTGATGCAGTTGCTGGTTAGATTGTCCTCAGACGCCGTCCGTCCTGGTCTTACCCTAAAACCAAAGATGAAGCTTGAGTGTTTGGTCCCTAAGGCGCAAGAGAACAAACCGCTGAGAACTAAGTAGTTCTAGATATTCTGAGGAGCCGCAGGTGGGAAAACATAGGTGTGGCAGAAGATAGGAAGCACTTCCATAAGGTAGGCTCTCAAAAAGATGGACTATTACCATGGCTGATGTGGCTCAGTTGGTTGGAGAGTCGTCCCATACACCAAAAGGTTGTAGGTTCAGTCCCTGGTTGGGGCGGGTATGGGAGGCAACTCATAGATGTCTCCCTTACGTTGATGTTTCTCTCTCTCTCTCTTCCTTCCTCTCTCTAAAATCAATAAAAGTATTTTTTTAGGAAGTTGGACCACTTAGAGTTTCTTGGGACTGTCTCTCCCAATATAAAATTGTAATAATAATAAAAATAAATCTTTTCCTTATGTTATGCTTAACATTTTCCCAAGGATGTCTCCATTCTTCAATATGTGTTATCTAGTTAGAAGAAGAGATTCAGATTTCTAGTTGTCAGTCACCAAATTGGTAGATAGGAACTCAACCTATTGCTTGATCCTCGGACTAGGAGATGGGAACACCAGGATGAAAAACGTGTAAGTCTGCCCTTTAGGAACCTTCTAATTTGTTGGGAAAATAAGGGGATGGATTTAAACTATCAAGTGTGGGAACACCTGAGAGAGGCCGCATGATGAAATTCTTGAATGGGAAGAGGAACGGTTTGCAAGGTACCGCAAGGACAATGGGGAACCATGAAAGGGCATGAAGGGGCACTATGACCCTAACTACAGTAGAGAAAGGGACACCCTGGAGCCTCTTGTATTACCCTTGGACTGGAAGTGAGGGAATATTGAGGAAATGACTGCAGAAACCCAGGGGGAAAACTGTTGGCCTGGACTCTGGCTGCGGCAACGCTGCGTGAAAATCCCTGGGATGTAATCAGAAAATGTGAGTAGGTTTAACGATGTCTAGACCACACTGACCAATAAGGGATCATAACTGAACACGAAAAGAAGGCAGACATGTATACCTGTGATGAACATCATGGACCCACCCCACCACCGGCCCCCACCAACAGCATCTTCTTGGTGACTGCGTCCCTCCCAGGAAACTAGACTGGAAGGCTCCAAAGCCTGAGATAATACAACCACTTTGCTGCCCAGGATGTTCTCAAAGGCTCCCGTTTCATTATGTAAAAACTCAGTCTGTCCAAAAATAAGTACTTATTCAGAGATTATACTTTCCAATGGAAGGGCCAGGAAGATGTTCACGGAATAAGGGAACTGCCAGGACACCTCCGAATTTTTTAGGACACTCAAGGATGTCTAACGCGGTCTAGGAATTCTCTCCTTAAAAGTTCTCCCAGGTGAGGAAGAGGGCAACAGACCTTTCAGGAGCCTCAACCTTAAGAACAAGGACAATCAGCACGTGGCAGGGTGGGAGGGAGGACATGGAAATCCCCAGGGGAGATTTTTCGGAGACTTTCAGTCTGTGCAG